CTGGTGGCGATCCGATATTTTAAAATACAAAACTATCGAATAAACGTTCCGCTCCTGTTACTTGCTTGGACATATGCGTGCGAGAGAGTGGACTCTTGTATTAACCCCTTCTCTGCTCTCCGGAATATAACTTTAATTGAAATTTGGCATTGGATGTGATCGTTTTCCCTCGAGAGTAACAAGGTAAACACCCCTGTTTTTGGCCACTTAAGACACAGTTCTTGGCCGCGCTAATACGACTCCTATAGGAAGAGGACACTGTGAGCACCCCAGGAAACACTAATAATGGTTCCTCGTATGGGAATATGTTCATAGAATGCTTGAACATGGTCAGATTAACTAATTATTCTGGATTTAAGCCTCACTGACCAACAACTGGAGACCGGCGGATACCGGAATTATACGAACAGTAGGGCTCTTACCCTACTGTTCGTACGATTACGTTCGACTGTAGGCGTTCTGGCAGCGACTTAATCTTTTTTTGATTCCTTACCGCGAAAGCCATGTACGCATTCAAAATCTCATAATATAGACGGACAACATGACCATGTCTTTGTGACATTATCTTCTTTTGTCATCATCATAGATTTACTCATAGGTGGATGTGTTAATCGAACCGAGACAGTGAACTTGTGAGGAAACGGTGAGGCACGCCAATGTTGCTACAAAGGTGAGTCGTTCCAAGGCACCTAAAAACATTTGAATGCATCCCTGATACATTTCGTTTCCCTGCTATGTTCTCACCCATATGTTTCATTACCCAATTTCCCCATTAATCGAAAGTACGAGTATGCTAATTAGCTAATCGAATCATTCACTTAAATCCGATGAATTATTTGAACATTTTGTTCAAACCGGAGGCAAGGTTGGGGAAGCTGAAGACTCATCGAACGAAAGCTTAACATTTGACTCCTGCGAAAAAAAGAAATTAACAAAATCTCACAGAAATTTGCACTTTGTCGTTCGTGTCCCTGTCCGCACTTTACACAGCAGAAAAGATTAAGTTTAACCTAAGTGAAGGATAAACAGTAAACAAGGGTTATAAGGCTGTGAATCACCATTTAAAAGGATTAATCGGATGCTCATTTATATGCGATATATTTCTTTACACTCTTTTCGATTGGAATGGTTAACCATTTAACTATAAGAGTTCTATGAATTTATTGCGCGGATAAATGAATATGCATGAGAACAGGAAACTATGTATCCCTTCTAAGGTTAAACAAATGAAAGAGGAAATGATCTTTAAAGAAAATTTTTTTTTCATCTAACTCAAGAGGTTAAACAGAAGAAAAGGTATAAATGCAAGTGAAACACCTTTTACAAAGGTTATTTGTGCAATGTAAAGTTCCCTTTTGGACAACTAGATGGAGTTATGATGCTACCGTTTCTCACAATACATAGAATAGTATTTCTCTCTTTCCCGGGAATCTCACTCACAGGTATGTTATGTGACTTCGACCTGTGTTTCGTCTTGCCTCATTAAAGGTAGTAATAGACGCGGATGCTTCCTCATTTATTATTTCCGTATTCGAGACAGATTCCTGGATATAAGGCCATAAGAAGCATATCTTCACAAGCAATAGCACGTAGGTTAAGAAGCGAAATTCATCCGCCTTGAACATCTGAATCCAGAAATGTAAATAAGTGTCTCCAAGTTGTTCCCTAATTGTCTGGCGACTGGATGATACATCGCAAAATTGAGGAGTGGCGTCTGATGCACCCAATGGTTTAAAGAAAAGTCTCTCATCTTGATGGTTACATGTACGTTAGGAAGGTTCTGTAACATGGTGCATCAGGTAACAAAATTAAATCAACTTCATCACGTTTGATTATCAAATTTGATTCACGGAGATGACGGGATGAAGTAATCAAGAATAACGTAGGAGCTTGCGAAGGAGAAAGGAAAACCTTGAATGTAAATAAGGGAGACAGACGGGATGACCCTTTCATCCCGTTGACAGAGGAATACTGCACTTAGGACACAGGAGACGTCATTCCCAGGGATATTCGATCTCCACTCTGTATACATCATTATGATCACTAGAAGTAAAACAAGGGAAGTAGCAGTTTGTGACGCCACAGTGCTACACACCTGATATGTCAACAGACTTTGTGTGATCTGGTTTTTCTGTCATGTGCGTAAAGAACTTATTGAGAAATTGGAGTGTTTTTTGTTCATGTATATTTGTAATGATTGTAATGATTGAGAAGCAGCCCTGCCAACTGGCAGTTACAAGAAATAAACAAGGTTTCCACATGAAAATGGCGAGGGCATGAGAATCGCAATCTTTGCAAGTCATCTGCAATGAGTGTCGTCACTACTCGAGGTAGATCACGCATGACTTCGGGGAGGTAAATCATAATATAATAAATTACTCCCTCTTCCGTAGAGGTGATTTTTCACCAAAACCTTCTTAGTCAATCGTATTTCCATCAAATCAAGTATTTCGCACCAATGAAATACGCGGTACGGCAAGGCTCATAGTAGCAACATGTTGAACCTTGCTTTGAAGTAGATGTTAGATATTGAAGCCCAATCGCTAAGCGTCGTTCTCATATCCATAAAGCCTAGCCAAAAATTCTTTTTTAAAGACCTGGCTTGGAAAGCCATGTAATAGTGGGGTCTAGCAGAATCTCAAAATTCAGAGAGAATACGAATGGAACAGGATGCGGCTCGCACTTACTTGGTATCAAGGCGGACGAGTAATGCTTCGAATATGGTTCCTACCTACTAGGCCTTAGCCTGGGAATTATCGTATACAATTCAGAAGAGTAAACTCTCGAGAATCTCGAGATATCTACATTGAAGTCATGGGCATAATGCGAAACAATAGTTCGTTATCCTCTCCAGAGAAAGAATGATGGGTTCGCTAATAATGGTATCAATGCCGTATGAGCGATTGATCTCTGCAGGAATTCGAGGTCATCAGAGAAAGGCAGATAACGACAGGATATCAATAGTCTAATTTAGAGGCTTCGTTCCCAGGCGATCTCGCTGTCGTACTTCAGGATAAGGAGAAAGTGGAAACAGTTTCATTTCAAGTAATAATAATTTTTCGACTAACACTCGCCAACGCGATTCACATTCGAGGGACTAGAATGTTCAAGCATGAGTCCGTGAACCAAACATTGGGCATGGAGCCCATGTAACAGTTCTCGAAGCGTTCAACCATAAATAAATATGAATATTAAATACCTAAAAATCTACATCTGAATCCGGTTCAAATGCTATTTCTCGAAAAGTTGACGATTTATACCAGTTAGGAAATGCAACAATCATCTCATATCAAATTTTGATTTGGGAAAAATTATGGAAATGTATATAGCTTTTTCTGGGATATTTTTTGGCATTGAGGTGTTAGCTTGTATGGGTAGGTGCGTTTATGAGTTTGTACATGAGTGAAATGTAGTAGGGGGTGGGTCAGAAAGTAAGTTTACGAGGCACATGCTTCGAATATTTTTTATCACAAACCATAATATGAATAATTTATTGCAATTCTACTACCATCCTACTTCTTTTCGACATAGTCTCAGCCAAGATTGAGACACTTATCATATTGTGGGAAGAGTTTTTCTATTCCCTTTCAATAGAAGTCCATGTTATTTTCGCTCAGCCGTGGAGAACCGGGGTGTTTCCTTTCCATGCTGGCGCGTTTTGTCTCCTGGGTATGATGATGAACCCGTGTCTCGTTACCTGTGACAATGTGCTCGAGAAATTCTTCACCACTGACGGAATATCGTTGCAGAAATGACAGAGCCCAAGCCATTCGTGGTTTCTTGTCGTCTTCCGTTAGTCCTCAAGGCACATATTTTGTTAAACCCTAAGTCCTGAATGATGTTGAAGAGTGTTCCATGAGACAAATTCATGTTGCTGTTCACTCACCGTAATCCTTCCGTTTGTTGCGAATCGTATTTTCACGAGTGTACTGTTCTCATCGGTTCTTGCTGTTGTGGGTCTGCCGCTCATTTTACAATCCTTCGTACTGACTCTTCCGCCACGAAATTCCGCACACCATTTCGCTACACTCTGCCGACTCATAACATCTTCGCCATATACTTCCACGAGCTGGTGATGAATTTCTGCCGGCGACACATTTTTAGCATTCAAAAACGGGATCACAGCACGGACTTTGTTATTGGACCACTGTTCCAGTCGAGTAGCCATGTTAAACTGACTCGTACAAACAATAAGCGGCAGATGGCGGGCAGTGTTACCAAAAATGATTTAAAAATCCCTCCGACATAACCACAATGTATGTAGGTCCTTTAGTTGCGAGTTCGTACGCCATGTAAACTTGCTTTCTGGCCTCCCTCGTACATACTTGGAAATCTGATTCATTTCCCTCTGGTTTGCCCCGACTTTGTTTGCATCTAATTGAACCATCTACCTCATTAATTAAATGCAACTTTTTCTGCCATCATAACCCATTTATTTCCACAGAAATTCAAATCTTGTTTGTCGTCAAATCGTCTTAAAAATTCGCAGCTTCATAACTACTGAGTTACCAGTTTGCCTCATAGACTATCATGGAGTCTAAAAGCATGGCTACGACGTATTACGTTATGTGCGGGAGAGGGTTGAATAAGCACGCGTATTGCTTGCTCTTTGTCAATGAGGTCAATCAATCTGAATCGCTCCGGCAACGCACGGCCTCATCTCATTCTGCTCATGCTGGAATCAGTATAAATATAAACGAAAATATATTTTCTTTAATCCAGATTAAAGAGGAATTCATGAATCTTCATCTTCCCATTGATTTTTAAGGAAAATCGCAGCACTAAAAATCAATGAAATGATGTTCTTCTTTATTAATTTATTAATTTATTAATTTATTAATTTATTAATTAAGATTAAATGCTGATTCAGGGAGCCGGGACATTACTTGCTGTTGGCCGTGTTTTCCTGCCTGCTTCGGAATGGATCGGTCGAAGTTTTCACATATTGGGCTGTATTTGAAGGGCAACGATATGGGAATGTCTCAGAAGAAAGTATCGGGATGACCATTTCGGACTGCAGTATCTCGTGCATGAAGCACAAAGAATCTCATCACTGTCATGCATTCAACTTCAGGGAAGCTTATGGATCATGCCAGCAGATCCGCAAAAGCAAGAGCCATATCGTCAACTCTGAAGGGTACCAGGCATTTGTTCAATGTGAGCGTCTTGAAAGGGAGAATTCGGTGGTGAGGAGCATGTCGATTTTGAGTGTGCTTGCCAAGGGCAATGAAACTCGCAATAGTCGCACATTCAGAACTCGACAATCTAAGGAAGTGAAGATCTATGTGAAGCATCCAATTTCGGCCAACCCACCTCCCAATATACGAGGATCGTTCAGGAAATAATGCACAATTATTTTTTCGCACTCTGTATTGAACATAATTACATGCAATTAACAAGTAATGTCCACCAGGGTTTTGCGATGAACACCTATTTTTCGAAATAGTCACCATTACGGGTAATGCCCTTTTCCAAACGTTCTACAAATACATGAATTCTATCCCGATAGAAGCTCTCGCCCAGGTGACGAAGTCACCTTCAAACTGGCATATTCACGTCCTCACCATCCTGAAAATGATGTCCTCTGTGGCCGTCATTCATAGGTCCGAGGAGGTTGTAGACGGACGGCTCCAGGTCCGAAACATCAATTGGCATATCACCCAAGTGATGATACGCCTATCGTTCAACCACTTTCTTGTTGCTCTCGCCATTGATGGCAATGATGGGTCGTCCTGATCGCGCCTTGTCTTTAACCCTCGTCTCTCCAGGTGTGAAGCAACTCACCCATCGTCTGATAATGCTGTCATGAACGCAGGCGTCACCATAATAAACTTTCCAGTGGTAGAGGATATCCGTAAGATTTACACACCCCCAACCGAGGAATTCAGTTACTGCTCTCTGCTTTTTACTCACCTGAAGTGTGGCAGCCATTTTCAACGTGTCTCCTGCTTGTGTCTCCCAGCAGATATTTCTCAAACGTGCGATTTTTTTGCGGGAAAGTTTATTATTTACGCAGAAAATCTTAAATCGGACTTAGCATGCATACTTTTTGTTCAAAAATTAGTTTGCATTACTTTCCGAGCGACCCTCGTACTTCGTATTTCATTTCCTTGGGTAATATCAATTTCTTAAGCGCCACATGTAATTTGGTTGTGTAACCTTATTGCCAAACATATGCTAGCAACATCAAAGAAATGAAGATTCTTCGTTTCCCCTCAAACAAGGTCTCCTCAGAATGTTTTCATCATCTAAAACCTTCGTTAACGCAACAATAGGCAATCGTTGTCCTTAAGGGCAATTTTTAAGTTTTACATCTACCCACACCCCAAAAAAGCGTAAGGGTACCATGCCGAAATTGTTGGATTTACTCTGAAATCAACATTTTAAAAAGCACAACACCAAATTTCACATTTGTGAAGCTGTGAAAACCACGATGGTAGCTTCCAACACGTCCTCACGATACGAAACCTAGACGACATAACTCAACCCAAAAAATTAGCTTTATATGCGCTGTAATCACCGTGGCAAAAATGGACATCTCTAATTTCTTTTTTTTTAATCCTGACTTTTCCCTTTCTGCAGTCCTATGCCTTACGGACTACCCAAAGATACAGAATACTGAGGAAGCGTTCCATGGTTGGAGTGGTGCATATCCTGCCCCACGGGATGGTCAGGTGATTTTCAAATGCAAACACCCACGAGGATTCACTGACGGCCACAAGGTACACATGGCCACCTGCGCCTCAATGCGACCCGATGCATGGTACACCACATTCGCTGACAAACGGACTACCATCCTTTGTCCACCTCCATGTAAGCATTTCAGAGATTTACTTTCTGAGAAACATTCAATCATAATTTATGAGATACTGTTCAGGATGTTCAACTTCTGAAGCCATCATTGTGGTGAACATGATGCATAATTGCGACAGGATGTCAGACCAGGGTTTCAAGAGAAATATAAAGAATTGACATGTCGCAGCCCACAACCTGTCGACCTATAGTTGACACGACATGTTTTTTCGTGACAGAAACCGATTACCTTAAAATGACAATTGAAACCATCTCAGACGTCTCGCTGTTAGGAAGTCTATTATTTGATAAGAGGGTATTGCTACGTCCTCCATGTTTTCGTCACATTCCCGGGTGAACATAAGTTGCTCAACTTTACATCTCCTCCCATATATGTAAAAAGTAAACGGAGAGTCTTTCATGAACTACCGTGACTGTTTGCCTAATTCGGGGTCTTCCCGCTGCCTCGGTGATGCTTCCTTGCGATAACAATTCCTGGTACTGTGTAGGAAGGATGCGATTTAGGCAGTATAGGGTACCCCCAAAATGGTCATTTCAAACTTATTCCATTTTCATGGCAGTGTCATGCGTGAGTGAACACCCAAAGATGGAGAACATGGCTGTGAAAATGACCTACAAGGACTGGGATGGGAAATACCCTGCACCTCCAGGCGCAACCGTCATATTCAGATGCCCTGCAAAGTTTAACGATGAGTCATTCGTACACAATGCTACTTGTTCCTTCCAGTCTGATCATGCCTGGGACATTTCCTTTCAGGACGAGGATGTGCGATGCCCAAGTGAGCCTCTCCATCTCCAGTCATACTTGAAAATGTTAATCTTAAAAAGACGTGCGTCAACTGAGAATCTCATGAGAAGATTGGAACTATGCGAAATGCGCAAGTGGTTCATAGACGCTTTATTGTCGTTCCATAGTTGTTGAAATTTACATGATTTCGATCAAAAAATTAAAACATAACAATCATCACAGCGTTTATATTAATCGAACTGTAATGTATTTCTAAACCTCTACCTCATACATCTCATCGAGTACATTTGAGATTCCAGTGTTTCATCGTTATTTCCATATCAGCGGCTGTTTATCCTGACTGCCGCCTATCGGAGAGTGGAAATGAGTATATTGGAACCATGAACGTAACAGAAACGGGGAGATCATGCTTCAGGTGGGATTCCGAGGAAGTGGCATCTTCTTATTATTCCGTGGAGGCAGGGTTCAATGAAGTCCTGTCCTTCGAGGAACACTTCTTAAACCAGGACCCGTCTTGGCACAAGAACTACTGCCGGAACCCAACAAATATGGCTAGGCCCTGGTGCTTTGTTGACGATGATGGTGTGAAGATGGAGTTTTGCCGTATTCCCCTTTGCGATTATTTGAGTGAGAACTTTATTCTATTTCTTCTGGAAGGGTCTGGTAGGTTAGTGCCTGTCTCATTTTTGGAGAATATGAACGTGGATAACCACGCCGTGATTCTTGACAAGGCTTTAGGACGAGGCATGACGGTTTTCGCTCGTTTACTATAAGTTAACTCCTACGAAATGATACGCTGCTCACATAGCATATTCAGACTGAACTGAAGCTTTCGTTCTCCTTCCCCACGTGATGATACCACTCTAATTAGACGAGGTTCTCAGTTAAGATTGACCTTGACTAATTAGTTATGTAACTACTTTTCGCGGAGAAGGGGAGAGAATGAATGAACACGTATTCTAAAGTTGAACAGAAAATAATATCGATTAAATCCTGTACGTCTAAGGATGTGCATGTTTTGTCAATGGACAGCAACCATAGGGATGAGGAAGATCGCCATGAAATATAGATACTTGAAAATTATATGCTCACTTTTATACTCAGCACCTTCCTGCTTTCATGGCTACCCCATTAACGTAAATGCCTCATACTTCTTTCGAGAAAACATTATTTTTTCAGGGGCAGTGAAATGCATTGCCAACCCCAGAAACATTGTATTGCCTGGGGGGGGGGGGGTTGGAGGGGTGGGGTACCTTTAAGATCATACTACAATCTCATCCTTATTAATGCATTCTCTAACTTGGGAGGTCCTATCTCATCCTTCATGACCATCTTAAACCCCTCCCATTAACATGGAATATCTAGGAAAGTTTTACTTAAAACGATTTGTACAAGGAACTCTGGAAAGATTATTCCCAACCTTGTGGCATGTTATTGATATCTATGACTGGAAGTCGAAGTTCATTGCGAATCACCGTCTCAATTTTCTCATGAAGCCAGAGACTGATGACCACAGACGAAACAGCAGCTCTTCACTGTTAGTCCGCTACAAATTATGGCATGAATACATTCAATATTGGCCGGCAGCTGTTATAACTACAAAGTCCGTAGCCAACAATGCCTCGTGCTCTCATTGTTGGTTGTGACCACTTCGCCCGGGAAGGCGAGTTTACAATCAATAATAGATGTGTTTCCTCATGAAAGAAACACAAATCGTCTACATGGAAATGTTCTGAGAGTTCTGCACCGTAGCGTAAAAAGAGAGCTTTGGTCTTCATTTCAGTTCGACACTATTTGCTTTGAAACTACTAGCAGAAATCAGCCTAAAGTTTCTAATATATAGACCATCGTGACTGACTGATTGACTGACGCTAATTCTAACCATGTTCCAGAAAGGTTAGAAATCTGTAATTTGGTAAATATGTACCTTTTGGGTTCCAGAGATCAGAAAAAATCCAACTTTGGAGGTACATGCCATGGGGGTAGACATTTTGGGGTGAGAAATTTTTTTTAGATATACATCGTGATGGATAAGGATGTTATCGAGACATGCCACTATACATCACCGTTTCAGTGGTGTAGTGGTAGCACATCTGACCGGTAATCGTGAGGTCCGGGTTCAATTCCCGGCCATTCCATGCTTTCTTTCCATGTTCCGTTGCATGAATAAAATGGAGAGACATGGAAAGGTGAAACGTGGCATGGACGTACCTACCGGCATAATGAGTTCAGGAGAAATGCAACATTTTAGATCCATACAGTGGGGCCAAGGTTTTGAAGTGTTTTTTTTTTGTCCTGGTGTATTGAGCTAGTGTGGAAACATCAAACTTGATAATTACCTATCGGGATGCTCCATGCGGAAAAATTCAGACTTTGGAATGAAATGCCCTGAGGGCATGAGTTTCAAAGGGAGATGTTTTCATATAATTTTTTTACATTAGTTAAACCGATGGACATGGAAAGCTGGAAATTTCTGTGAATGTGACTACCAAGATAAGCTGTGAAATAAACATGTTAAGTCTCGATACATCCCCTACGGGAATTTTTTCGAGGTGCCATGTTTTGAAAAAAAATTGTTATGGCGAATTGGGCAGAAAAGGAGAGGTGAAACTCGGCACACATATAAGTGACGTGATATTATTGACTTGAAGGAGTATTCAACATTCATGGTGCATCCCCTCCAGGCATTGCTTTTGGGTGGGTCGGCTTTTCAAAACATCCTTTTTCGCCAGCGAAAAGGGCAAACATAATATTGAAACTTTGCGGTCATGTAGTTCACTAAGGTTTAAGTAAAAATGGTACTTTGTTAAAACGGTTAAAACGCCCGAGGGCACATATTTTGCAAATATTCCTGAATTTTCTGATCCAGCAAAATGGAGAGAGCTAGAAAGTTTAACCTTGGCAAAGAAGTACCTGATGAGTAGCTGAGTAAAGAAACAATTCTACTTTCATCTAATATACTGTATATAGACGATGGTGACTGACTGATGCTAATTCTAACCATGTTCTAGACATGATGAGAGGCTGAAACTTGGTACACACATATCTGTTAGATTGCGGACTCCAGAAAAATTCCAACTTTGGGGGTAAGTACCCTGGGGACTCATTCCAGGGGGTCTCATTTTGTAACCCTAGGTCTAACCCTCGGACGGACGCTTAGGCCAAAGCCATTCTTAGGCCCCCCTTGCCTTCAACAAAACGGAAGGAACATGAAAAGCTGATACGTTGTCGATTCCAGAGAAAGTTTTACTTCGAATGCCTAACTTTGGGGGTCCATGCCATGGGGGCACGTATTGGGGGAGGGGTTGGGGGACTGATTTCGCAGGCCTAGGCTCAACCCATGGATGGATGCTTAGGCTAATACCACTCTAATGCCTTTTCTTCCTTCATGGAAGCAGGAGTGAAAATAAATAGCTGTATCATTCCACACCTTCGATGAAGTTTGACGTAGAAGGTACGTGCCGTGAGGTGATTGACTTAGCAGGCCTATAGGTAACCCTTGGACAGACGCAGAGACCTACTCGAATCTTGCCCGACCTATTCGCATAGAGGAACTTCTCGGCCCATCATCTTACCGAGCATCCTTTTGTCTTAACCTGACGTGCTAGGCGTTCGAGCTATGCCATTGGGTCATTGGTGAAGAGAAGGGCACGAGCTGGCGCGTGGTACGCTTGCAGATGTGAATGAGTTCTATTCTTTTTTTATCAAGGAACCAGTATAAGATTGACAAACATTGACATTTCGATATAAGGTGGCTATGTCTAATCCTCTTAAGGACGATTAGGCCAATGCTCACATTTCAACAAAACGGCAAGGTATAACTACGGGCTGCATATACGGTTTATTCATAGACAACTGTATGGAACCTTTAGAAGAGTTTGAAAAAGGAACTGCCATAGAGTCATTTCGCTAGAATATAAAATAACGATAAAGTCCCTACAGTCGAATTGGAATTGTCGCCTTGAAACTCAGAAGTAATGAGCTTATATGACTGCTTCCTAGCCCCCCCCCGATGGAGATGTAGGCTTACGCCATTCCCATGAACACGTTCCTTCTTCCTCAGTCATTGAAGGAAGTGTGTGTTATTGCTACGCTCACTTGAGAGGAATTCAGACTTCGGAGGGAAGGAGGGGGGTTGTACACGCCCTAGGGATAAATTTCGCAGGCCTAGGCCTACCCCATGGATGGACGCTTAGGCCATTACTGCTCTCATGCACCCTCCTCCTCAAAGAAAACGGGATGGAAAATAAATAGCTGTTGGCTTGCATACTACAAATACAGTTCGACATTGGCCCTAATGGGAATGATTCAGGAAGCTTATATCCAACCCTTGGACGGTTGCTCAGGGCTGCATTGATCTTCTAATATATATAGACGATCATCACTGACTGACGCTAATTCTAACCATGTTCTGGAAATGTTAGAAATCTGAAACATCGTACACATGTACCTTTTGTGATGCAGAGATCAGAAAAAATCCGACATTGGAGGCACATGCCCTGGGGGTACACATTTTGGGGGTAGAAGTTTTTAAAGATATATTTTGTGACGGATGAGGATGGCATCGAGAGGGTTGACTGTCACGAGGTCAGTGGTGCAGTGGTAGCACACCTGACCGGCATACAGGAGGCCTGTATTCAATTCCCAACCGTTCCGTGGCTTTCTTTTGGGCTCTTATGCCTTCCAAGTAGCGCTCATCATTCCACCTCCATAACAATATTTTTCTTAAGTAAAACGGAGAGCCATGGAAAGCTGGCATGGACATGCCTACCGAGACGATGAGTTTAGGAAAAGTGTAAACTTTTAGATCCATGCGCTGTGGGGGTATATTTTTAGGGGCCGACGTTTTCAAGTAATTTTTTTTTACCCTGGCGTATTCAGCTGGTGTGGAAAGATGAAACTCGGTAAATTATTACCTATTGGGATGCTGAGTGCAGAAAATTTCAGACTTTGAAAGTAAATGCCCTGGGGGCACATATTCCAAAGGGAGATATTTTCAAATAATTGTTTTGCATCAGTTAAACTGATGAACATGGGAAGCTGAAACTTTCCCTCAGTTACTACTAAGACAAGGAGGTAAAGAAAAATGTTAAGTCTCCATCCATCTCCAGGGGAAAATTTTTTCAGGGGCGATGTTTAAAAAAATGTATCCTGGCGAATTGGACAGAAATAGAAAGGTGAAACTTGGCACACGAATAAGTAACACGGTATTATTGAGTTGAGGGAGGATTCAACTTTCATGGTGCATCCCCTCCTGGCATAGCTATTGGGTGGGTCGGATTTTCGAAACATGTTTTTTCACCACCGGAAAGGTCAAACGATGAGGTTAAAACATATATTGCAAAATGCGTATTTTCTCGATCCAGCAAAACAGAGAGCGCTAGAAAGCTTAAACTTGCCAAAGAACCTGATGGATAGCTGAGTAAAGAAAAAATTCTACTTTGGTGATAAATGCCATAGGGGCACACCATTTTGGGGCACAAAAATTAAAATAGTTTTCACTTCTTCAATCTAACGGAGACACATGGAAAGCTGAAACTTGGGAAGAACGTGACTGCTCACGCACTGAGCTCAGGAAGAATATCAAATTTCCAAAATAATGGAATTTTTTGAGGGGGGTTTCTTGGGGACATTGTTTTCAAATAATTTTTAATATCCTAGCAAATCAGGCAGAAATGAAAGAGGAGCAGCTGGCGCACGCATAACGGACGTCATGTTGATTTAAGGAAAAAATCAACTTTTGTTGTGCGTCTCCTCAGAGCACAGGTTTTAGGTGGGTCGCTTTTCCAAATATTTTTTTTTACCGCCAGCAAAAAGGGGAGACGTATATGAAACTGGGTGGCATGGAGTTCCCTGAGTCTATATTTCAGAAGAAAAAAAATTTCCGTTAAAACCCATCAGTGCACTTTTTAAAGTCTCATTTTCGTGAATTATTTTTCGATTCAACAAAACAGGAACAGAAAATTTAAAATTCCCTCAGAAGTACCTGTTTGATGGCTGAGTACAGAAAATATGGATCCTAAGCGTAGATTATTGGAGAGAAGTATTTAAAAATGTATTCTCCGCCCTTACAAAAGGGACACATGAAAAGATTTCAAGTTAGGCACGCTAGAAATCATAGAAGTAATGATTTTGATTTTAAAAAATCAAGCCTTTCGTCCCCATATGCCACGTACTTTAAATACGTGTTTGCCATTTCGCAAAGAATACATGAATTAATCACTATCCAAGGTAATGGAGCGCCGAAGGCGCGACAACAGCAACAGTAAAAAAAATATATCGGACATTTCAAATGAAACGTTTTCATTCGAGATTGCATTGGTATGAAAGAAAATGAGAAAAATTGACGTTACGGACGGAGAGGGGGATGAGGCAACTTGGAGTACGCCTTTTCACTTTTGAAATCCAGGTTCTAACATCCTTCGGTCATCGTACGCTTTTTCTTTCCGCCAGTCCTCGACGTCTTCTATTTCATCAATGTATTCCCGACAATAATGAAGACACCTCTCCTCGCTCCCTAGGGCTCCTTTCCCATTATACGGAGGAATTCTCCATTGTCATGCCATGGAGACCTGTGAAAATGAAAAGCAAAAGAAACCATCCTAAGTAACAGGATTCCTTTAGGAACAGAAAGAGGGAGGACACGTTTCCTGCTAGGGAACTGGAACTTTTATTAAAAATTAAAAAGGGGAGAGGAAGAATAGGGCGGGATGCTTAACTAAGACTTTCCGTGAATTCATGTCGAAGAGAGAAAGATTCCGAGGACTGGCCTAATCGCAATAATCAGGAGGGATGGGTGGATGCCTATAGCCTCGATCCGGGTCCTCTTTCACTTCTCGGTCATTACCCCGTTCGTATCTTTGTAGAGGGGTGTCAGAGAAAAGAGAAAATTGAAGATTACCCGACGGGTAATCTTCAATTAACAAGAAAATAAGCGCTCACAAACTTGCTGCAAATCGTTTTTATCTATGCTGGGCTTCTGTCTGCACCGTTCTTGCGCAACGCGCTGAAAATGCATCGGAACACCGTCCACTACCTTTGAGTCGAATTGTCGTCTGAAGATTGCTTTTGATGACTAAACTAAATTAGCGTTGAATTAGAACCGCACATTTCAATTCAGTAAAGCTGTAAAGGACTTTAAATTATTCATACCCGGTAGCCAAAACTCGACTGGCGTATGCAATGAATTATACTTCATCAATATACTTTTCTTTACATTTTTTTCCCTTGCCACATATGACAAATTTGGATATTATGAATGGGTAATATGTTGCTACTTTCTCCTGCAACCAATATTAATTTATTGCAAATATTTTCAATATGAGTCTCTGAAAACGCATCCAATAACTTAACACGGTTCCTTGAAAATATCTTATTTAAAAATGCAAGATTCCCCGAAAAAAAGCAATATTCTGTCCGCGGGTGGTGTATTACTATGGTACTAATGTTTCGGGGCCTGCGTTTACACTTCCAGGCGTACCAGAATGCAAGATGAGCCAAAAGGGAGGGGAATACATGGGTGTGAAGGACAAGACTATTTCAGGCTTCGCTTGCGTACCCTGGCTAGATCTGGATGGAAATGAAGGGGACGTTATGATTAGGGCCCGTGAAGGGTCGTTCCCAGATGAAATCACAGAAAGCCACAATTTCTGTCGCAACGCGAACGGAAACCCAGGTGGTCCTTGGTGCAACATCAAAGATTCCCAAAACCCGAACCTGAAGTGGGAGTACTGCGATATCCCTTTCTGCGATTTTGACGATTCAGGAGGAAGCAGCAAATCTGGAGACCACGAATCAAGTGAGTTATCACAATCAATCCCCACTAACGACAATGGCCACCAGAGCGGCGCTTTACTCCAGGGGCTCTACTTTTTTCTTACAGCTTCAACTAAATCAACTAAAAATAGTCTTAGCCAGTTTCCTGCCAACAAAATGTAATCTACAGTTCACGTTGGAACATATTTGCATGAGGAAGATGCTGAGGTACTATGTGCCACGTCTGCCGGCTTGCGCAAAAATGACAAACACAAAAAAATGAAAATAAGTTACATCAAAAGAAACAAACAAGTTTGTCCTATTGTAATACCTGATGAACTAGCGAAAAATGGGAGCCATAGCGTATTCTGATATAACTAGCGGGCTTCTATCCATTCATATACTTTCTTCTAACTGTTTATCAACTAAGAACTCGTTTGCAGCAGTGCCCATGTTTTCTGTAAAACGAGTCGTTTGGAACGTCAGTCGCAACGGGCTCATCCTGACGCAAGTCTCAATGATTAAACCGCGAGATGCTTTGCGTAAGACTGGCGACGCTTGGCGAATGTCACCACCCAGCACAACTACTTTCCCACCGAATCGGCTATCAACCGAGTTTCGCAACGCCTGTTCCAACGTTGATAGCACTTAAGCAGGCGCCAACTGCACTTCATCCTAACTGACGTCGATAGCTCTAACCATCGCCTGGTTTTTGCACCATTATTGTATCAATATGTTCATTATGTGAATTCGTGTGGTGTATAATAATTATTTACCAGCTTCGCTTGCTTCATCGATAACAGAGACGTACTTCCCGTTCCGAATTTCCATGCCCCGCTATATTTGAACCACTTGATCCGTATCCTTAATACCGAGTTGAGCATACTCTAGTTGCTGACTGAATTAGCTGTAGAAGAACATTATGAAATAGATGTAAACGAGTCCTAGACAAATGATTTACTTCGCCGGATGTTTTGAAGCAGTAAGTACCATTATCGGTAATGTCCACAATCGTTGCACCGAAAGGAAACTGATGCGTTTGCGCTGTTGTACTGTCTGTTAAACTTGCAAAAATTTCGAGGGTTTTCATACCCTCCATCGACAGCGTTTTCAACTCGAGCGGAAACTCCTATGGGTTCGAATGGAGCACCATAACATGATCATTATAACAACATTGGATAAGCATTCATTTCAAAGCGGAGAAAGGCAAAGCTAGCAATGCTCAACAGAACATTCCGCTTTCATAGGGTCGAGACCTTGCGGAACGGCTAGAATGACGTTGGGTCAATGCCAGGAGTATATGGGTTGAAGGTTTGACGCGCACGAACGCTAGTCTCCACGCAGAGATGAAAGCCTGATGTTCTACAATTAATGCAGCTCCCCTCAGGGCATTAACGTCTTTACGTTGCTCACTGGTCAGCGTAGACCTTCTCAGCCTCGCCGTTTCTCTTCTGCGGGCGCATCGCATCGCACACTCTTTGCATACCGCCCATGGATATTCTTGTTTGAGTTCTTTTGCGAGTGATAGCATTGCAGCTTCGAGCCTCAGGCTAAAACAACTGAGGCTTAGGCCAGAGCGGCGCACGAACGGGATGAACACGGTACACAATGTGTTTAGCTGTTTAACCCATTCCACCATGATCATGGAACGGCACAGACTTGTAGGCCTAACAGCTGTATGGAGGAAACCATGAAACAGGCCAAGCCTATGAGATGGAAGGGAAAGAGGCTCTTAGGTCTACAGGCTACTAACCCCATGTTTTTAGGGGCAAAATTTTCATAGGCCAGAGATTACACCAACCATGGAACTCCTGAGCGTATTTTAAAAAGTACTAGCTGCCTATGGCCGCAATAGCGGACCTCTATATATGCTTTTCTCATCAATTAAGAACAGTCTTGGCCATATTTCAGTTTCCTAAATATAATCTATCATACGATAGAACAGATATGCATCAAAGAGATGCTGAGGCACAGCGTGCAACATCTGCCAATACTCGCAAATTATAACAAAAAATAGGTCAACATGAGTTAAGTAATAGAAATGGAAGGATTCATGAAATATAAAAAAACAGGACACTCGTGCGAACGCAGCAGAAAGTGTATATCATGATGAAAAAAAGTCCCAATGAACGGATTGGACAAAGAAGGAAGTGCTTCCACACATACTACATCTTTGATAACTATGACATCAGTATTGCCCTTCTTCGGTCCAATTGATAACCTTTTTCTTCAGTAAATACTCATAGTGAACCGCGAGCAGGTAATGTACAGATGCCATGCATGGACACTGCCTCCGTAAGTATGAATCCCACTCGATCTTATGTCTGTCCATAAGACTTGTTCATAGTCGTACGGTTGATAAGCTCGATACTGAATCGACGTTGACAAAGAGGGACTAACGGGTTGACAAATCCAGTGAATCTCCAGGCAGCAAGTGAACGCAGTCACAAAGCGCATCTGTGATCAACTATTAAGGGTGTTCAAATGATGAGGGAACTTTAAGGTTTGCCGAGGATTAGGGACTAAGATTATGAGAAACAGCCATAGCCCCTTTTAAATTCAAAGCCCCCTAATATTACCACATTGCGAATCGGACATTTTACCACATCGACCCGTCGCTGTGACCTGAGCCTCAGTTACCTTAGCCGAAAGTTCGATGCCCTTAAGGCTATGACATTTTCGGGCATAAGCTAGGCGAAAGGACTCAAAAACAAAGCAGTGGGAGAGAGCTCACATTTTTAGGTTTAGGGCGTGCGGAAAGGGACCCAGAATATTGAGATTGTCTACAGATTCAACCAGAAATTGCGATCACCGCCATACTTCAAAATGTCGATACTGTGATGTGCCCGAAATTTGCCTTCAATCGGGACGACATGTCCTGGTGCTCATTCTACGGACTCCGACTGAGCGCGTTTGCTTGCTCACTTCGACATTGCAGACCCTACATAGTTGCCTAGACAGCTCGTTCACCATATTATGGAATATATAATCGCTTGGTATACGCAAGAAGAGCTCAGATGAATTCCCCTCGACTAGTGCAAATGTTTACCTGACCACATCGAACAAACATCGAGTAAATATAACTTCCTTTGGAGCAGCGTGCTCAACTCTACGTTTGTCATACGGATTAAGTGGAAAATGTATGACAAACGTAGAGTTGAGCATACGCTATTTGTTGACTGTCATTTAGCAGAGAAACGACTTCATTAAATGGACATAGACATGTAGCGAAATGATAGACAACGCCGAATGTTTTGAAGCAGTAAAGGCCATTATCGGTAATGTCAACAATGGTTGCACCAAAAAGAAGCAAACGCGTTTGCGCTGTTGTACTATCAGTTAAACTCGTGGAAATTGCGAGCGTTTTTACATTACCCATACACAGCATTTTCAACTCTGGCGAAAACCCCAATGGGTTCTAATGTATGATCACGAGAACAACCTTGCCAAAGTAGGCCTTTCTCCGCCTAGAAATGAAAAGTCAGGCACTGCTCAACAGAGCATTCCACATCTATAGGGTCGCGATCATGGGAGACTGCTGGAATGACATTGAGCGACTTAACCAACGCAATTCGAGCATGGTTAAAGGTTCGTCGCGTACACGCGCTGCTCTCCTGCAGTTCCCGTCAGCATTTAGATATTGAATTTTGATCATAGTTCAATGCAGACCTACGCAGTTTCGTCGCTTTTCTTGCGCGGGTGCGTCGCATCACATAAAGTTGTTTATCACATCCCATAAAGTTTAGGATCTGGAAAGGCGCAGGCTGGTAGACCTAACAATTGCTTGAATGAATTGCGAAACTGGCCTAGCCTATGCCATGGAAGGAAAACGCCCATAGGTCTCTCAGTTACCAAGCCTATGTCCAAGGAAGACTTATAGGCCAATGGGCTACCTGGCCTATGTCATTGAAGGGCAAAAGCTTCATAGGCAAGAGGCTACATCTGCCACGAATATCCCTTAGTGTATTCTAATGTGGTATGGTTGGATGGATATCCGCCTCAGCATATCAGAATATAATTTTTCCATTACATTCACTTCTTGGTCAGTAATCTGTGAATAATGGTGTGTAGTGTAGAGATTATGTTTCATTTAAAAGAGAAACAATCACTTCTCCACTCACCACACGTTATTCTGAGCATAAATGGGATACTTCAAAGAAAGAGGGACCGCACAGTTGCACTATCCCATCCTAAGTTCTACATTTTCGCTCTACAATTATTGTCCCTATTCATGAATACATGGGGATAGCGTCGATTGGAAATTGTAGATAATGTGCACTCATTATGAGCAATCGGATTACATCAGATATCCTTGGTATTTAAGGCCAATTCTCCATTTGGTACTTCAGTAAGTCATAGTTTGAATACTCTACTGCCTCAACCTCCAACGGTGTAGAACACCTGCATTTTACCACATCCTTCATTAGTGCTTGACAAATATCAAACTAAACTGTGAATATACTTTTCACTTGCTGCTCTACTTATTGCTTCGAGCATGCTGCTCTTCTGCTATTTATGCATGTGCACAAATGGGTCACAAATTTATCATTATTCTGTTGTAGCCGGGGGAATAATGCAGCCCAATTACAAAGAATGCCGGCTTACAGAGATGGGGAAAGAATACATAGGTGAAGAGAACAAGACGGAAACAGGAAAGGAATGTATAGCATGGACGTATGCGACCGGAGAAGGCTTTCTATTAACAAGTTCCATATTTTCCCACCTACCATTCCAAGATCGCCAGATGCCTAGACCACCTTACAAGATCAAGGACTATCTATACTCCTGGATTCACCTATATTCAACTACCGAACGCTCTTTGAAATCAAATGCATGCCGTAATTATGGCTCGAAGGAGCGGCCCTGGTGCTTCATCTCCCTTGAGAATCCCGCCTGGGAGTACTGCGACATCCCGTTCTGCCGTGATCATAAAGGTTTGCAATTCTTACATCAAGAGGCTTTTAAACCTTTTCATATCAATGACATTTTCGCTCTACATGGTGGGCCCAAACAAAAACTAACATTTTTGCTAAGTTGAAATTTGGTAGACACAGGGTGACTTAATTAGGGTTAGTGTGCCGAGTTTACAAAAAAATCCGAAAAACTCTGAGATCGACATTCAATGTACTTTATCACCTAAAAAGTGTTCGCTTTTTCTTTCTGCTTGAAATTCTTAACCATTGACAAAAAAAAACAAGGAAACAATCAAAGAGAACAAAAACAAATGCACAAATGCCAAAAATTGAAAGCACGCAATTTAGTTTAGGGACGTTCATTTCAACTGAAAAGGTGACCGACCAATGCGCCCTCCATTCTGTTGTACTAGTTTGGGACAACCACAGATGAACGCAAGGAAACACACAAACCATAGACATCTCGGGCGTGGACGTCTACTGGTTAAATTTTCTCGGAGACTCGGCAATGTATGATGCCTGGGACTACGAGAAGGTTGTAAACGAACGTAAATGGGTTTCCATCAAGGGGAATTTGCTGCTCTACAGTAGCTTTCCCTTTGTTTCTTGATGCATTTTCATTTGATTCAGTAATTCGCTAATTCATCCCCTCCATGTGGATTTACAATTTCTTCTGACCGTCAATACGTAAACGGCGGAGCAGCATATATATTTTTTCGATTTGAGCCATTCGTATTACTGCTGCATTCGTCTTTATTATTTCCATTAATAATTTCCCTCAAACTAACATTTTCCCCATTCAATGATTACGTCATTTGTTCATTCATCTAACAGATAATTTGTATAGGTATGACTGATTCCATATAATCAACGTTGTCATTCACTGAATCCTTGACCATATAGAGCCGGCGGAATGCATATTCACGGCTGAGGGACGAGAGTACTCAGGGTTGAAGAACGTCACAAAGTCGGGGAAGAAATGCCAGCACTGGCTGAGCCAAACGCCAAATGAACATTCGACTATCTTGCACCTGCCTGCATTCCCCGATCCTGGCATGGACAGTCACCACAATTACTGTCGTAATCCTGACATAAGGAATTCGGGTCCTTGGTGCTACAACGGAGAGGGCACCGATCCTGAATGGGAATATTGCGACGTTCATCTTTGCTAGGTGATACGAACTGGAAAAGTGATATGGCACCTGTGAATGTGGGAATGCTCAATATTTTTCCAGAAGCATCGTACTTCTTGGACGTTATTCTAACTCGGTTGGGCAATTCAGTAGAAATTAGCAATGCTGTCTGTGTACCGCTGTTAGGTGCTTTCTCTTCCGCTCTTCTCATCCCTTTCATCCACCTCAAAACAAATGTTTTGTACCTTCCTTGTCCAGTTTCCGGTGATTTTGACATTTTGGTGTTCGTAGGGCCTTCCGTAGTGAATTGAAAGTGTGTCCTTATATACTTTATAGGTGTATATGCACGGTCCGGAAAGTTTACCGACTATGGGCGAAATTTTTTCAGTGCACGGGTTTTCATCATACGTTTGTCTGGGAAAGCCAATAAAACACTTGTTTTGCACCTCGCATTTCTTCTAGTAAGGAAATAATGATCTCATTCAGTGTCATTATTTCACAGCTGTCTAGATTTTAAATTGTAAGAGACTCTAACGTGATATGGAATTAATGCTTATCACAATCAGAACCACCAGTGTATTCGGGGTTTAGTTGATTTGACTCCTGACTTTTTAAATCTGCTATGACTATCATGACAACCAACTTTGAAAGAGAATTGTAATATTACTGGCGAGCTTGTTTTCCCTTCGGGCAAACAATCCCGCTATGGTCGCGCCTTCGGCGCTCCGTTGCCCATAATTGTGAATTCATTTATTATTTTATTCACAATGTGTAACAAAAATGTGGGAAAAGTATATCCCTGTCCAAATGTGCGCCGAGAGTGAACGAACCGATTTTTCATCAAAATAATTTATCCGAATATTTCCTTTGGGCCTACATCAAATCTCTTAATGTTGTGTCCTAGGAGTGATACTTAAACATACCATGTGCACTCAGCCATCGAACCGGTACTTCTGCTTCAAGTTGTTTCAATTTTCTTTAGTTCTCTCTTTCATTGGATGAGGAAAGACTCCTGGAAATGCGCCTTTGGCTGAAAAAAAAAGTGCCCTCGGGTATTACCTAAAAAGTAACATTTTTTACTGGGATCAAGACTCGGATAACTACGTGCCCAAAATGTTTCAACCTCATCCGTTTGCTCTTTTTCCTGGTGCAAAAATATATTTGGAAAAGCTGTGCCCTGGGGTCCCTTTCATCATAAATTGTATGCTCTAGGGCATTTACCTCCGTAAATGCTTAATGGGAAACGTGTATTTCTAGTACGTCCCAATTGAAATATGTGACTTATGGGGACGAAAGTGTTAATTTTTATCAAAATCATTACTTCTATTATTTCTAATGTGCCTAACTTGAAATTTGTTCTTGTGTCCCTTTTTGCGAGGGTGGAGAATACATTTTTAATTACTTCCATCCTATAGTCTACGCTAAGGGTCATATTTCAAATGTTGGATTTTTCCTGTACTCAGCAAACAGGTCCTTCTGAGGGAAGTTTAAGTTTTCAGTCTATGTTTCGTTGGGTCAAAAAAAAATCAGGAATGTGGGAATAAAAAAAAGTCACCAGACGGGTTTTTTTTTAATTGTATTACTTCAGAAATAAAGACTCAGGGAACTCCATACCACCCAGTTTCAGCCTGAGACATTTCCCCTTTTTGCGGGCGGAAAAAAGATGTATTTGGAAAAGCGACCAAAACCTGTGCTCTGAGGACACGCACAACAAATATTGAAATTTTCCTCAAATCAACATCACGTCTGTTATGCGTATGCCAGCTGCTATTTTTCTATTTCTGCCCGATTCGCTAGAATATGAAAAATTCTTTCAAAACGTAACGTCCCCATAAGATATCCCCCCCCCCCAAATTCCAATATTTTGGAGATTTGACAATTTATCTTACCCCAGTGCGTCAGCAGTCACGTTCTCGCCAAGTTTCAGCTTTCTATGTGCCTCCGTTTAATTGAAGCAATGAGAAGTATTTGAATATATGTTCCCTGGAAGGTGTGCCCCTCTGGCATGCATCACCAAAGTAGAACTTTTCCTGAACTCAGCATGCGAATAGCTACTTATGTCAGTCAGTCAGCTACTCGCGATCTTCTACATATAATAAAAGAAAATATATTTCATTACTTAGCTATCCATCAGGTACTTCCTGGCCAAGTTTAAACTTTCTAGCAAATTTTATTTTGTTGTATCAGAAAAATTGCGAAAATACGCCTTTTGCAAAATATGTGGCCTGAGCCATTTTAATAAAAAAAAAATTTTTCCCGAAATCCATACGCAGTGGACTACATGCCCACAAAGTTTCAATATGGTATATTTGTCCTTTTCGCTCATGAAAAAACATGTTAGGAATAGCCGACCCTCCCAAAATCTATGCCCAGAATGGATGCACCATGAAAGCTGAATACACCAGCAACTGAATAATATCATGTCACTTATCCGTATGCCAAGTTTCACCTTTCCATTTCTATCTAATTCGCCATAACAATTTTTTTCCGAAACATCGCCGCTCGAAAATATTCCACCAGGGGATGTAGCGACACTTAACCTTTTTCTTTAACTCCCTTTCTCAGTTGTCACATTCATCCAAAGTTTCAGTTTTCCATGTTGATCAATTTAACTGATGCAAAAATTATATGAAAACATCTCCCTTTGAAATTTGTGCCACCATGGCATTTACTTCCAAATTCTGAATTTTTCTGCACGCAGCATCCCAATTGGTTGTACCAAGTTGTATCTTTCCATACCAGCTCAAGACGCCCCAAGAAACATGCCCCCATAGGCCATGAATCTAAAATTTTACATTTCCTCTGAACTCATCGTCTCGGTAGATACCTCCATGCCAGGTTTCAGCTTTCCATGTCTCTCCGTTTTTACTCAAGCAAATAATATTATATAGGGGGAATGAGAAACGGGACATGGAAGGCAGAAGAAGTCCAAGAACGCCAAGGAATGGCGGGGAATTGAACCCATATCTCCTGGTTATTTGTCAGATATGCTACTACTACATCACCGAACCCAGGATATACCATTGATTCTCTGAATGCCATCCTCATCTGCCACAGAATATACTGTATTTAAGAAAAAGGTTTCCCCACAAAATGTGTACCCCCAGGGCATGTACCTCCAAAGTCGGATTTTTTCTGAACTCTGCATCCCGAAAGGAACATGTGTACCAAGTTTCATCTTTCACACTAGCTGAATACACCAGGTCAAAAAAAAAATTGAAAACATTGACTCCAAAAATATGCACCCGGGCATGGATCTAAAATTTTGCATTTTTCCTGAACTCGTCGGTAGGCACGTCCATGCCACGTTTCAGCTTTCCATGTGTCTCCGTTTTATTCAAGCAACGGAACATGGAAGGCAAGAAAAGACAAAAAAGGTATGGAATAGCCAGGAATTGAACCCAGGCCTCACGATTATCGGTCAGATGTGCTACCACTACACCACGGAACTGTGCTTCGTATTGGTATTTCTCAATGACATCCTTATCCATCACGAAATATATTTTAAAAAACTTTTCCCCCCAAAATGTGTACCCTCATGGGATGTACTTCCAAAGTCGGATTGTTTCTGAACTCTGCAACCCTAACGGTACGTGTGTACCAACTTTCAGATTTCTAACCTTTCTGAAACATGGTTAGAATTAGCGTCAGTCAGTCACGATCGTCTAAATATATTAGATACTGGAATGTTCTCGAAGCTTCTGCCCTCGGGGTATATATGGCGGCTTCTGCCATTAATTGGCAGCCATGGCTCCGATCGAAAGATCATGTGATAACCCGTTAGAGTGTTTCTGGCTTAGCGAAGAGATGAGCAGGATTCTGCTGGATTTTTCCGGGGCGGAGTCTTGCCCTTGCAAGTCAATCTGTCCAAAGTTTAATTCGCTTTCTGACCCTCAAACGGTAGTCCCCCGAATCGCAACTCAGTTACGGGTAATGCTGTTTCATTCGTTATCGCTCCTGAGTCTTATTCTTATCATGGGGCTTTTTCATCACAATTTCAGGGCAGGTTGGAGAGTTTGCAGTTGCCAGAGTGACGGTATTAGCATATGTGTTGTCCTGCGTTTGACCCGTCCCAGTAGTACTGGGGTCTGCCGTGACGGTCCACCCACCATGCATTGTGCATGTCTTCATTTGCGAGGTCCGTCGTCAAACAGTCATATGGAAACGAGACAGACATTGCAGAGTGAGAAAAATTTGCAACTATGCAAGATTGGATGGTACTCAAACGTCAATATTCTGGTGCTAGACCACACCCACGTTCTACAGGATCCGCTCTGCTGGTTTAATTTTAGGGTAGGCCTAACCCTTTTAAAGCTATATATGTTTTTTTTATTATTTGACTATCCTAGTTGCTTACTGTCTAGTACCTGACGTCAACATTGCCCCCCAACCTTTTTGCCTGTCCATGAAATCATCCAGTTTCTTCTTAAAGATAGTCACGGAATCGCGTTGCTGTTGTCAAATTTGTCCAACGCGTTGGTCGCAAGTTGATTGGCAAGCGCCTATGTCGTCGAAGCGGCGGCCATTCATCGAATGCACCTCATTTTTGGAATCAGCCTGAAGTCGTAAGGTTCGCGGTCCAAGGAATACAAAGAATGTGGGAGCAATGGCACTCCAAGATTGGTTAGAAATTGAATACGGTACGACATATCTAATAGGTACTGTTTGATTGCCGACAGTCATTGCGGACAAGCTCAGTTTCGTCATTATGGCTTGTCGATTGCCGCCCATGCATTCATCATCTCCAGTGGATCCCCACCTTTCACGGAATCGCTTGTGTCATGCACACCAGAATTAGGAAGATTAATTTGGCCTCAGGGGAACGGCCTCCAAATAATGGCTTGGCAGCGAAAGTGTTAATGAACATGATCCTCATGATGAGGTGAGATGGATGAAATCATGACCAAATATGTCGGTGTCTTCGTTCTCCAGGAATTCCTCTGCTGCCATGTCCCCAATCGCATCCCTGAATCCGTTCATGCATTATCGAATACATTTAATAAATTTTCAGCTTAACTGCATCATTCGCGAAAGAATAT